TAATACAAACAGTGATATAGTGGGTATCATTTTACATGTCATTTTACTGGTGTACAAGTACCTCTTTGTGAATAAATTTCCAGAAGTATTGCTGGTTCAAAAGATAAATGCATTTGTAATTTTTAAAACATTCGCCACTTGTTTTTCATGGAGTATATACCAATTTCCACTCCCATTAGAAACATGAAAGGCTGCCTGTTTCTTCACAGCGTCCTTAACGGAGTGTTACTAGTTTTTTTTCCCCACTATCTGTTAGGTGAAATTATTTTCAATGTAGTTTTAATTTGCTATTTTCTCCTAATATTGAGGTTGAACATCTTTTACATGTTTAAGAGAGAAAGACCTTTGAAATACTATGTGGAGTCATAAACCATAAAGGAAAAAATTGATGGAAATATTTGACTATATAAACAATAAAAATAAAATTTTAAATGACAAACGGCATAGAAATTTTTGCAACATTTGACTAAATGGCTTTGATATAAACTTTTTTTTTTAAATCAGTAATAAGACAGTACTCCAATGAGAAAATGGGCAGGTGACACGAATAGGCAATTTCAAATGAAGAAATTAAGTAGCAATCAAACCCCAAATAAAAATTTAGCTTCACCAGTAGGTAATGAATTATAAATATTTAAACACCTTCGCTATAATTAGTGTTCTTTAAAAGTATACAAGTGGAATCTAAGGAATAAAATAAACAACAAACAAAATGAAAATAGACTTCATAGATACAGAGAACAAACTGGTGATTGCCAGATGGGAGGTGAGTTGAGGGGTGGGATTAAGAAGTACAAATTGGCAGTTACAAAATAGTCACAGGGATGTAAAGTACAGCATAGGAAATATTGTCAGTAACATTATAATAACTATGTATAGTGCCAGGTGGGTACTAGACTAATTGGGGGGATCACTTAATAAATTATATAAATGTCTAACCACTATGCTGTATACCTGAAACTAATATAAAAAAATATTGAATGTCAACTCTAATTGAAAAATAAAAATTAAAAAAAAAACAAGAAATAAATTTTAAAAAGTATATATGCGGTGCTTCTCTTAAATGAAACATAGAGATATTCCAAGATACTCATTTTAAGTAATTGAAAGGTGTGGTAATGTTCTCAATCCCTTGCCAACATCTCCTTGCTATCCCTTTCACCCAGTGGCCCTAGATGTTTTGGGTAGCAGTCTTATGTCACTTATTGTCATGAATTATTCAACAGTTGGATGCAAGCAACAATAGATTCAAATGCAGTTACTTATTAAGCAGTTTTTCCTTTTGAAGAGGAAATAGAGTATCTGTAATTATGTATTAGAGTCTGGAAAAAGTTGTTTTAATTCATCTGAAATATTTATTGACCACTTACAACCATATGCCACATACAGTAACCTACAGTAAGGATAAAAAGATGAGCTTTGAACATTCATGTACATATTCTTATATAGATATATGTTTTCATTTCTCTTGTGTAGATACCATGTGTAGAAAGAATTATTAGATAGTATGGTAACTCTATGTTTAACACCTTGAGGAAGTGCCAGAAAGCTTTCCAAAGAGGATTTTACATTCCCATCAGTATTGTATGGGGTTTTCAATTTCACCACATCCTCACCAACACTTGATATTATCTGTCTTTTTGATGATAGCCATCCTAGTTGGCAAGAAGTGATATTTCATTGTTGTTTTGAATTGCAATTTTCTCATGACTTTTGACATTGAGTATATTTTCATGTGTTAGGTGGCCAATTGTATTATCAACTTCACCTCTTTCTGACCATTCTTTTGTAGTCACACCTCCCTCTAACCATGCCCGAAAAGGATCTCTACTTTAAGGATTCATGTCATTAGACTTTGTTTACCTAGATAATCCAGGATAACCTCCCTATCTCAAGGTACTTAACCTTAATCACATCTGTAACATCTCTTTTATCAAGTAAGGTAATATGTTTGCAGGCTCCAGATATCAAGATGTGGCCATTTTGGGAGACCATTTTTCTATTTACCACACCATCTTAACAATATTAAATTGTTTGATCCATGAACATGACATATTTCCATTTATCGAAGATGTTTTTAATTTCTTTCAATGACGTTATTTATTTTTCTGGGTACAAGTCTTATACTTCTGTTAGATTTGTTCCTAAGTATTTTATTCTTTTTAAGCAATAGTAAATGGAAATTTACTATATATATATATAAAATTATATGTATATATATGTATATTTAATTTTATTTTATTATTAGTTTCAAGTATACAGTACATTGGTTAGACATTTATACAGTTTATAAAATGATCCCCCTAATTGCTCTTTCTCTCCTCTGGCTCTCCACCTAGCTATTACATTAATGCTAGCTGTTTTCCCTATGCTGTGCTCCCCATCTCCATGACCATCTATTAACCACTAATTTGACTTCTTTAAGCCTTCACCCCATTCTCCCAGCCCACCAACCTCCCTCCCTTCTGGCTATCACCAGATTGTCCTCTATCGGAATTATTTTTTTATGTATCTATCTTGTATCCTGTAACTTTGCTGAACTTGTTTATTGTTCTAATAGATTGCTAATGGATTCTTTAGAATTTTTTGTATTCATGATCATGTCATCTGTGAATAGAGATAGTTTTATTTTTTTTCTTTTTGACATGGATGCCATTTATTTCATTTTCTGGCCTCATTGTTCTGGTCAGAACTTCCAATATATTGTTGAATTAAAGTAGTAAGAGCAGACATTCTTGTTCTCTTCTTTGTAGTAGCAGGTAGGTATTTAGTCTTTCACCAGTAAATATGCTGTTAGCTATGGGTTTTTTGTAAATGCCCTTTATCATGTGAGGAATTTCTCTTCTCTTCCTAGTTTGTTGAGTGTTTTCATCATGAAAGGGTGTTGGATTTTCGAAAATGCTTTTTCCACTTCTTTTCAGATGACCTGTAGTTTTTAAATAATTGAGGTATAATTCATATACTTTAAAATTCACTCTTTAAAGTATACACTTCAGTGGTGGTTTTTAATATATTAACAGAGTGTGAAACCATCACCACTATGTAATTTCAGAACATTGTCATCACCTCAGAAAGAAACCCTGTACCCATTAGCAGTCATTCCTCATTATTCCTTCCTCCCATTTCCTTACAACCACTAATATACTTTCTGTCTATGCATTTGCCTCTTATGGACATTTCATATAAATGGAATCATACACTGTGTGGCCTTTTGTGTCTGGCTTCTTTCATTTAGCACAATACTTTCAAGATTCATGCATGGTGTAGCATGTCTGAGTACTTAATTCTTCTAATCTC